TTTTTTGCTATATAAATGAAAGTCCAAAAAAATCTGAAAAAAAGTGTTTTTCTTATAAAATTTTGCAAATAAATAATCTTTCTTCATAAATCTTGGCCAAAATGTATTCAGTTATCTTTTTTAGTAAACAAAAAAAAAAAACAAATTAGTTTATAACCAAAAATTATAATTTTTCAAAAAAATTCTTTTACATTTTTATAAAAAATTGTTATATTATTATTTATGTTTTTTTTTTTTTTAACATACTGTCACCCTAGCAGTACAGTGTCACCATGGTGACACTGTACTATTTGCGGGGGTGATGAAGATTTTTTTTTTTTTACACTGATTGCTTTTACACCCATAAAGGCTGTTAAGCAAGGACCCTTGCACTCTGTATGGAAGCAGTGGTCTCTCTGCAAAGGTCCAACACCCCCCACAGCTGAGTCAAACATTTAAATGTGCAATCAGCAAAGTCCATGCTGCCGCCTGATTAGAGAGCCCAAGCAGAATGCTGCAGAGAAGGACCCTTGCACTCTGTAGGGAAGCAGTGGTCTCTCTGCAAAGGTCCAACACCCCCACAGCTGAGTCAAAGCTGTACCTGTGCAATGAGCAAGGTCCATGCTGCATGCTGATCAGTGGCGGACTGACAACACATGGGGCCCCCGGGCAATAGGGGATCATGTCCTTGCCCAAACTCAAAAAAGCCCATGAAAAGGTACCAGGGGCATCTCATGGGGCCCCCTACTGACCCCGGGCCCTCGGGCAGTGCCCGAGTTTCCAAAATGGTCAGTCCGCCCCAGCTGCTGATTAGAGAGCCCAAGCAGAATGCTGCAGAGAAGGACCCTTGCACTCTGATGGGAAGCAGTGGTCTCTCTGCAAATGTCCAACACCCCCACAGCTGAGTCAAACCTGTAGCTGTGCAATGAGCAAGGTCCATGCTGCCTGCTGATCAGTGGCGGACTGACAACTCCTGGGGCCCCCGGGCAATAGGGGATCATGGGGCCCTGTGTCCTTGCCGAAACTCAAAAAAGCCTATGAAAAAGGTACCAGGGGCATCTCATGGGGCCCCCTACTGACCCCGGGCTCTCGGGCAGCACCCGAGTTTCCAAATGGTCAGACCGCCCCTGTACAGGATTTATATAGCGCCAATAGTTTGCTCAGCGCTTTACATTACAATGGGAGACAGCACAGTAACAATACAATACACGAGGGGTTCGAGGGCCCTGCTCCTTGGAGCTTACAATCTAGGAGGGAGGGGAGAGTGGTACAGGAGGAAATAACTGTGGGGGATGGAGGGGTAGGAAGAGTGGAGGAGTTCAGCAATTAGCTGAGGGCGGGGTAGGCTTCCCTGAAGAGATAGGTTTTCAGGGTGCGCCTAAAGGTGAGGAGAGTAGGTGACAGTCTGATGGATTGAGGTAGAGAGTTCCAGAGGGTGGGTGAAGCCCTGCAGAAGTCCTGGAGGCAGGCATGGGAGGAGGAGACCAGGGAACTAGAAAGTAGGAGGTCTTGTGAGGAGCGGAGAGTACGTTTTGGGTGGTATTTGGATACCGGATCGGAGATGTAGTTTATAAATGGCCACCCAGCCCTGCACTGCTCCTGTCCAGCACATGTATAAAAACGGTGGTTAAATCAAATTTAGTTCATTTGATTTCCAAAATTTTCTACACTTCCGCCAAGCCAGCGTTCCTTCTTTAGCATGACCTTGCCTGGAAATGTCACTGGTAACAGTTGTTCCTCTATGAACGGCGATTCACGATAAATAATAAGATGATTTCCTGCTGGCAATTCTATCTGCTAAATAACTTCAGATGTTCGGATATTTATGACGCCGCCTTCGCCGATAATAATAAACGGCGGACAATAAATCGCGGCTTTAAGACCTCAGAAAGGGGGCCAGCTTCTTGTATAGTTATGCTAATGAGGCTTCTAATTTGTTTAACAGAAATCAAATTGCGCCCTTGCCTGTCCCTCCTGAATTATGTCCCTTTTTCAATCCAAATAAATTCTGAAAAGCAGTTGGAGAGTGCGTGAAATGTTTATGTAGAGAGCGAGATCCAGCCAAAAAAACAAGGCACAATATTCGCGTCCACAGATGGCTGACCTCTCCCGGCTGCATAAATATTATACAATTACCAAAATTACTGCAAAACTATGGAAAGGAGCCAGATCTGGAGGGAAGGAGCCTCAAACTGCAGAACTCCGACACAACGGCCGCTGTTTTATTGTCAGCCATGAGACGTACACAATTATAAAGTCGTTTGACGCAGTTTATCAGCGCGGCTCAACAATTTTTTTTAACTTCCAAATGATCGTTATAAGTAAAATGGTTTTCATGTTTTCTCTACAATATTGCTTGGAGACATCAACAGCATCGCTACCCCAGCGGGAGGAATCGTCCTAACCGCTGACTCTGCATTCTTACCCATAATCCTTTGTTATTAGGTCCAATCTTTAACAAACTCATGCAGACTCCACCTCCGCAACATCGCCAAAATCCGCACGTTCCTAACCCCAGAAACCACTAAACAGCTCATCCACTCCCTCATCATATCACGACTGGACTACTGCAACTCCCTCCTCACTGGCCTGCCTCGCCGCTGGCTATCCCCGCTTCAGTCCATCCTGAATACGGCTGCCAGACTCATTCACCTTTCCAACCGCTCCATCTCCGCCACCCCCCTCTACCAATCCCTGCACTGGCTTCCGATTGCCCAACGGATCAAATTCAAAATCCTAACACTGACGTACAAAGCCGTCCACCATACTGCCCCGAACTACATCACTGACCTGATATCCAAGTACCGCCCAACACGCACACTCCGCTCCTCACAAGACCTCCTTCTCTCTAGTTCCCTGGTCTCCTTCTCCCATGCCCGCCTCCAGGACTTCTCCAGGGTGTCACCCATCCTCTGAAACTCCCTGCCCCAACCCATCAGATTATCATCTACTCTCCTCTCCTTTAGGCGCACCCTGAAAACCCACCTCTTCAGGGAAGCCTACCCCACCCCCTGCTAACTTGCCGACCCCCTCCACTCTTCCTACCACTCCATCCCCCACAGCTATCTCCTCCTGTACCGCCATCCCCTCCCTCCTAGATTGTGAGCTCCAAAGAGCAGGGCCCTCAATCCCCTCATGTTTTGCATTGTATTGGTATTGTTCTGTCACATGTTCTGTCCCCCTTTGTAATGTACAGCGCTGAGCGAACTATTGGCACTTTGTAAATACTGTATAATAATAATAATTAGGAACGTTGAACTGATACTATGTAGTCCTGTGAAGTTCTTCACTACTGGACTACCGAGCACCTTCTTCCTAGGCTTTCCTTCAGCAAGTTGTCTTCACCACGTCTGGATGCCTTCAGGTTCGCCCCTGACCTGAAGTCGAACCGGTGTGAACCAGGGCTAAATCCCCTTCTTTCTCCATTCTGGTGCTCATTTTGAACTTCATCAAGTCGTCTTCACCACGTCTGGATGCCTAAATGCATTGAAATGCTGCTATGTGGGCGGGATGTGGTTAATTGTTTATTAAATCACCAGAAATAATCCCCTCAGGGGCAGACTGACAACTCATGGGGCCCCTGGGCAATAGGGGATCATGGGGCCCTTGTGTCCTTTCCCAAACTCAAAAAAACCTATGAAAAAGGTACCAGGGGCATCTCATGGGGCCCCCCATTGACCTGGGGCCCTTGGGCAGTGCCCGAGTTTCCAAATGGTCAGTTCACCCCTGACCTGAAGTCGAACCGATGTGAACCAGGGCTAAATCCCCTTCTTTCTCCATTCTGGTGCTCATTTTGAACTTCATCAAGTCGTCTTCACCACGTCTGGATGCCTAAATGCATTGAGTGCTGCCATGTGGGCAGGATGTGGTTAATTTTTTATTAAATCACCAGAAATAATCCCCTCAGGGGAGGACTGACAACTCATGGGGTCCCCGGGCAATAGGGGATCATGGGGCCCCTGTGTCCTTGCCCAAACTCAAAAAAGCCTATGAAAAAGGTACCAGGGGCATCTCCTGGGGCCCCCTACTGACCCCGGGCCCTCGGGCAGTGCCCGAGTTTCCAAATGGTCAGTCCACCCCTGATTCAGAGATTGCTTTTTCTGAAGGTGCTGCATCTTGTGAACGGAAGCTTACCAGAGTCAGCCACTGACATAGCTGATAAAGACTCAACTATTGGACTCATGGTTATGCATCCCAATGTCTGCTATAAGGAGGCTCTATTAGTGTGAAAAGAAAATATATAAATTTTGTTTTGGTACAGTGTTGTATGACCAGGTTAAAGAAGTACAGTGCTGAATAGCAAAAAAATGGCCTGGCCATGAAGGGGGGTAAAACCTTCTGGAGTTGAAGTGGTTAAGATATATATTATATCTCCTTAAAAAAAACGAAAAAAAAAAACTTGTCAACTGCAGTATGTCATCTTATAGGGTGCTTATCAGCCCCCTTGTGATTGCAATAAGGGTTAGTAAAAAAAAAAAAAAAAAAAAAGTTTCAAAAATTTGAGGTATAATAAAATACATTCTAAAAAAATGTAAAGCCCACCCCACATACATACAAATGCAAACAAATGTGTTGGGCATGTATGTGTACTAAAGCCCTAATATGTGAATTTTAGCGTGTGTGCAAACAATTTTAAAAAATCGCAAAGGGTTTAAAATAAGCCTTTTTTAACCAATACTGAAAAATTCCTGTTTTACAGGACAATCAGACAGATGTTAGAGTTCCACTTTAAAAAAAAAAAAAAAAAAAAACCTCTCTCATTAATTCTTTTGATTGCATTGTTCCAGAAGTAACGTTCCTGCCAGAAATTCATTTTCCGTCGATCGGCTGACGTGTTGATCTTGCCTATAGGGGGACAAAGTCTTATTTTAAATTTCCTCTAAACTATTGACCTTGAATGTCAATCTGCTCTTTTAAATTCCAGAACGGTGACTGCTTTAAACCATATGGCCCGGCAGCTCTCCTCCGGATCGCTGTCAATATTCGCTTGTCAAGGTTGTCCGATATCAGAATATGGCAATTAACATTTAAAGAATTTCAAATATGCAAAAAGTCACCGTTTGCATTTTGCTTGTCAAACACGTCAGCCTGGAAAATGGAGGTTTCAAAAAAAAAAAAAAAAAAAAAAAAAAATTTTTTTAGCATAAAGGAAGTATGAGGTGTACGGCTCCCCGCGTCTTCTCTTTACACACAAGTGAACGGCTGAAAATTTTTTGCTGACACAGATCACACCAAACTGTGAAATGTCGCTAAACCCTCCTGTATGTGAAACTGAACTCCGGGGAGATATAAAAAGAACATCATTTATTATAGATAGTTATAAAATCCTGCGTCTTTGCATTTTCAAGGCAAATACAACCAATATTGAAAAAAAAAAATAAAAAAATATATATATATAATATTTTTTTATATATACATATACACACACACATATAATAATATAAAATAAAATATAAATATTAATAACAAACATATATATATAAAAATACATACATAAAACATATACACAAAACACATATATATAACATACATACATATATATAAAACACAAACACATATATATAAATATATATATATATAATATAACCCATAAATATATATACACACACACATATATATATATATAAATATATACAATATAAATACACAATATAAATACATAACATATACAATACACATAAATAACATAAAAAAATACAAAAATAAAAAAAAAATATAAATAACACATATATATATACATAAAATATATATATAACCCAAATATATATATATACATACATATATATACATACATCTATCTATCTATCTATCTATATATATATATATGTAAAGTGCTGCACAAAAAAAACCCACGCTAAATAAGTACCTACAAACACATAAAAAAAAATACACACACACACACACATATATATATAAACATATATGTATACATATATGTCCTGAAAATCAAGTATTTCACACAAAAAAAAGGTATTGAGCATTAACACATGTTTGCTATACACATGTTTATTCCCTTTTGTTATGTATTGGAACAAATATAAAACAGAGGCAGAAAAAAGCAAATATGACATAAAATGTCACACAAAACCCCAAAAATGGGCTGGACAAAAGTATTGGCACCCCTTAACTTAATATTTGGTTGCACACCCAAAGGTACCTTTTGGAAAATATAACTGAGAAATCAGTCGCTTCCCTCTATAACCATCAATAAGCGTTCTGACCCTCTCACCCGGGAATTTTGGACCACTCTCTTTTGTCTCTTTGCAAACACGCTCCAGGTCTCTCTTATTGGAAGGACAAATAAAACAAACCTTTTTCCCCAATACGCTGCAATTTTAAGATTCTCTCCACAAGGTGTTCAATGGGATTTAGATCTGGGCTCATTGCTGGCCACTTCAGAACTCTCCAGCGCTTCTTTGCCATCCATTTCTGAGTGCTTTTTTGACGTATGTTTGGGGGTCATTGTCCTGTGGAAGACCCAGGATCTTGGACGCAAACCCAGCTTTCTGACACTGGGCCCTACAGTGCGACCCAAAATCCTTTGGTAATCCTCAGATTTCATGATGCCTTGCACACAGTCAAGGCACCCAGTGCCAGAGGCAGCAAAACAAAACCCCAAATAAAAACATCATTGAACCTCCACCATAATTTTACCGTAGGTACTGTACAAAGTGTTTGTTCTTTGTAGGCCTCATTTTCCGTTTCGGTAAACAGTAAGAATGATGTGCTTTACCGAAAAGCTCTATCTTGGTCTCATCTGTCCACAAGACGTTTTTTCCCAGAAGGCTTTTGCTTACTCAAGTACATTTTGGCAAACTGTAGTCTTGCTTTTTTATGTCTCTGTGTCAGCAGTGGGGTCCTCCTGGGTCTCCTGCCATAGCGTTTCATTTCATTTAAATGTCGCACGGATAGTTCGCGCTGACACTGATGCCTACCCTGAGGCCTGCAGGACAGCTTGAATGTCCTTTGGAACATGTTTGGGGCTGCTTATCCACCATCCGGACTATTCTGCGTTGCAATCTTTCATCAATTTTCCTCAATCCGTCCACGACCAGGGAGATTAGCTACAGTTTGCCATGGGTTGCAAACTTCTTGATAATGTTGCGCACTGTGGACAAAGGCAAATCTAGTTCTCTGGAGATGGACTTGTAAAACCTTGAGATTGTTGATATTTTTGCCACAATTTTGGTTCTCAGGTCCTCAGACAGTTCTCGTCTCCTCTTTCTGTTGTCGCATGCTTAGTGTGGCACAGACAGACACACAATGCAAAGGTTAAGTGAACGTCTCTCCTTTTTATCTGCTTTCAGGTGTGATTTCTATATTGCCCACACCTGTTACTTGGCCCCTAGGTGAGTTTACAGGAGCATCACATGCTTGTAACATTTCTTATTTATAATATCCGCAGTGTGAAAAGGGTGCCAATACTTTTGTCCAGCCCATTTTTGGAAGGTTAGGTTAGTGTGACATTATGTCGAATTTGCTTTCTTTCCTCCCTTTTTTTGTTTTGGTGTGGCCCAATACAAACACAAAGGGAATAAACATGTGTATAGGCAAAACATGTGTTAATGCAATACGTTTCGTGAGAAATACATGATTTCCTGGAGAAATATCAAGGGTGCCAACAATTTTCGGCCATGACTGTATATATATACATATATATATATATATAAATAGATATATAATATATGTGTGTGTGTGTATTTTTTTTATATGTGTATGTAAGGTAGTACTTTATATAGCGTCAATTTGTGCAGCACTTTACATATATATAGATAGATAGATAGATAGATAATAGATAGATAGATAGATAGATAGATTAGATAGATAGATAGATAGATAGATAGATAGATAGATAGATGTAGTATATTCATTGTACATTCACATCAGTCCCTAACCCTAGGTTCACACCTATGCGCGTTTTTCCGCAGCGTTTTGCAGAAACGCACTACAGTCCATTTAACATGATTTCCTATGGGACAAGTTCACATCTCCGCATTTTTGGAAAGGGTCAGGGACTTTTTTTTGGTTCTATAGACTTCAATGGAAACACTACAGAAAAGCTTGTAGTGCTTTTTTGCTGCATTTCTTTATGCGTTTTTGCGTGATTTTGATGCGATTTGCATTTTAAATCTGCCTAGCAACAAGAAAAAAAAAACGCAGTGTAGAAACGGGTCAAACGCATACTGCATAGGTGTGAATCTAGTCTTAAGGAGCGTACAATCTAAGGTCTTTAACTCACATTGAGGGGGTCGGACTGACCATTTTGCAAAACTTGGGCACTGCCCGAGGGCCGGGGTCAGTAGGGGGCCCCATGAGATGCCCCTGGTACCTTTTTCATAGGCCTTTTTGAGTTTGGGCAAGGACACAGGGGCCCCAATGATCCCCTATTGCCTGGGGGCCCCCATGAGTTGTCAGTCCGTCCCCTGCTCACATTCATACATACACTAGTGGTAATTTACCTACCAGTATGTCTTTGGAGTGTGGAAGAAAGTGGATTACCTGGAGGAAACCCACACAGGCACAGGGAGAACATGCAAACTCCAGGCAGGTGGTGCCATGATTGGGATTCAAACCAACAACCCTAGTACTACCAGGCAGAAGTACTAACCATTTGGCCACTGTGTAGCTCCCTTAGTCTTTCCCTGTAATGGGCCCATGTGGCCACGCACACATGCACAGCACACCACCCTTCGGCTCAAGAATCAGTCTAGGGGATTATTTCTGATGATTTAATAAAGGATTAACCACATCCCACCCACATGGCAGCATTTCAATGCATTTAGGCATCCAGACGTGGTGAAGACGACTTGCTGAAGTTGAAACTGAGCATCAGAATGGGAAAGAAGGGATTTAGCCCTGGTTCACACTGGTTTCGACTTCAGGTCAGGGGCGGACTGACAATTTGGAAACTCGGGCACTTCCGAAGGCCCGGGTCAGTAGGGGGCCCCAATAAGATGCCCCTGGTACCTTTTTTTCATAGGCTTTAGGAGCTCCTGCGCTCCTAGCCCCAATCCGCTGCCATCCCGGGCCACAGCGGAACCCAGCGGGGCCCCTAAGGACACTCCCGGCCCACCTGACCACCAGGGACCACTTCTGGACCTTTTCCCGGAGCCCCGGAAATCGCGGCCTACCCGGCGCACCTCGATTTTGGCCGCGGCCGAGCCGCGATCGGACCGGATCGCCGGACATCTACCCGGACCATCACCGCTCTGCCCACCGTGGTCCCGCCGACCTGCCTGCCTGCCCAGGGCCCCTCCCCATCAGCCCATGGGTCCTCGCTGATCACCCTGGACCACCAGGAACCGGCACGGCCTCACGGTCTCCCTGGAGCCCTCCCTAGCTCTGGGACCACCCCAGACCACACCCGGCACCCAGCCGCCACCACCATCGGGGCACCCAGGACTGCTCGCACCCGGCGACCCTGCCTGGGAACTGCTTCAGGCCTCCCAGCACCCTGCGGGCCACCCTGCACCAGCCAGCCCCAGACCAGGAACCTTTCCAGGACAACGCCGCACCTCCGCTACCTGCATCGAGGGGATTCCGTAAAACCATGGGTCTTTTAATGCCGTTCCAGATATTGCAATGCATTGTTGATGAGGATTCTCCCGTCCTTCCCATCTCTTGGCCTTTGCTTGGCAACTCGAAGTCTAAGCTCCCAGCTAACACCCCTGGACACCCAGCACCCAGCTACCGGTACCCAGCTACCACCCCATGGACACCCAGCACCCAGCTACCGGGCACCCAGCTACCACCTCTGGTCACCCAACACCCGGACCACCCAGCGAATCGAGACGTCGCCCAGCTCCGAATCGAGA